TCTATTCTATTATTGCTTCTATAATACAAAATATTTATAAATGCTTGATTTTGGAAAATTGATGATTAATTATGTAAAAGCAGGATGATAAACTTACGACCCTTCTTGCATTCAAGCCTGTTGAGTTTCGCTGGAAGTTGTTAGTTATTTTTTCAATCTTGGTGGAACTCCAATAATGTGGTTTCAGATAGTAAACATTTTTTTTTTTTTCAATGAAACATCATCAAAGCTTAGGCAGTGATTTTAGGCCTCCACCTCGACACAATTGGGGGTGCTGGTCACTAAACTTAAATAGTTTACAGTCTTTACCTAATTGATCAATTTTTCTGGTTACCAATTTGACTAAGTACATATTCATATGTCTAAAAATTTTGGTTATATTAGTGCAACCCTGTGATTGATTTAGCTTTCAAAAATTCCATGTTTGTCTTTCGAGATTGTTGCGTCCTCAACAGGCAAATTGTGAATATAATTTCAGCTTGGAATACCCTTTGGCCGCAAGAAAGGAAACGACAACGAGCTTTTTTCCTATTCGGATTAGCACTCATACTACAACTGGATATTGAGGGGATAAGGAAATTCTTCCACACATTTTTTCGCTTACCAACTTGGTAGGTCAAGAAAGTTACCTCTTCCCCATTTTGGCGTTTTGCAAGAATAATCCTTCCTCAGTAATATGTATTGCATCTTTTAAGTTACTTATTTTGCCAAACATGATTTTGAAAGTTGATCTTTTACTGAAAAAAACTTATTTTACCCTGCACTTACCGTGATTCTTGGCGAATATGTTATTCTATCAGGATGTGGCAAGGGTTTCTTGGCTCGACTCTTTCATCAGCAGACCTTGTATTATTTGCATTTTATATGTTTGTTATAGCTCCAAATGACCTGAGAAAAGGCCTTATCAAACATCTGATATCTGATCCTACTGGTGCAATAATGGTGAGAACTTATCTTACAATATAGAGACCACTTTTTCTCAAGCATTTTCCCAGGGTTCTATTATAATTCCTAGTTAAAATGAGTAACACGTTTACACGACGATCATGTAAATAACTTTTGTATTTTTTAAATATTTATATACATTTTTCTCCATATCTGGTTTAAATGATGTAATGTTCTACTGTACTGGAACCTATGAGAACTGATTTTTCTTTTATTGCCTCCACATTTTCTTGCATGTCTAATTGTTGTCTAAAATCGAAATTCGATCATAAAATTGTAAGTGAGATAAGAGAATATATACAACAAACTAAATTTTATTCTCAATAAATATGAAGTCAGATAAGATTTGACGAAGTTCTGTTTGTAAACCTACTGCAACACTTCTCCTTATCCAAACTTGGAACTTGCTATGGAAAAATATAGGCACTCTTAGATAAGAGAATATAATCCCCACCAAAACTCTCTTTCCTTCTCTTCTGGTTTTCCTTTTCCAACTGTAGAAGAATGAAAGAAAACCATCAATTACCAAATAAGGTATACAAACTTATTTATACAGTGATCTTTGAAGGTTCCTGACACCATTCAGCATCATTCAACTTGTGTAAATTCAAGTGCATTGGCATCAGGATCTCGTGTGAAAATTGTGTTGGAAATGGTTTTTTAAGTAGTGAATTCAGTCAACTTCGAGCTCCAATTTGAGTAGGACCCATACTTTGATTTCAATGGGACCATGCATATTCGCGTTCTACTCCGCGAGGTGATTAACTTCATATATATATTTATCGAAAACCATTTAGAATTGAATTAAATATTTGATGTCAAAATAATCAACTTGAAACTTGAATGAAATATTTATTTATTGGAAGGAAATTAAATTTGAAGATATCATTGTCTGATTGAGAATAGAAGATGACAATCACAAATTTGAAAAGAGGAGTGAAGCATCTCATTTGATGGAATCAAATGCTAACATTGTGGAAGGAAGTTTCGAGACTAGCAAAAAGAGGCAGCACAAAGCCGAAGGACAAGCTGGTTCTTCAAAGACTCCTTAAAAGTCAAAAGGTAACTGTTACAATTGCGGTAACGCAGGACATCGATAAACCAAAGAATGTCAAGGGAAAAACTCCTCAGGCCAATGTAACAGAACATGATAACCTTTTTGATAAGGTGCAAGACATAAATCTTTCTACGGTTGTTTCTGAATACAACTTAGTTGGAAATATTAAGGAATGGTGGATGGATACTGGAGCTATTCGTCACATATCCTCAAATTTCGGGATGTTCTCTACCTCAAAAGCGATAGATAATGATGAACAACTCTACATGAGAAACTCTTCATCTTTTAATGTTGAAGGATATGGAAAGATAGTGGTGAAAATGACAAGTGGAAAGGAGCTCATTTTGAATGAAGTTCTTCATGTGCCCGATATTCGAAAGAATTTGGTATCTGGTTCACTGTTAAGCAAAAATGGGTTTAAGTTAGTATTTGTTTCGGACAAATTTGTACTTACAAGGAATGACATGCTTGTAGGAAAGGGCTACCTGAATGAGGGGTTCATTAAGTTGAATGTAATGACTTTTGTACCTCCTATTATGAATAAAATTACATATTTTTCTTATTTGCTTGAACATGTAAATTATAATACCTTGTGTAGACTAATCAAGTTGAATTTATTAACAAAGTGCAATTTAGATCCTAATTATAAAGGCGATATATGTGTAGAAGCCAAAATGACTTGTTTACCCTTTCGTTCTGTTGAAAGAAGTAAAAGTACTTTATCACTTTTATTGATGATTGCACTCGATATTACTACGTGTATTTACTCAAAAGCAAAGACGGAGCAATTCAAATGTTTAAACACTATAAGTTAGAGGTTGCGAATCAACTTAGTAAAAAGATTAAGGCTATAAGAAGTGATAGAAGATGTGAATATGATTCTCCGTTTGGACAATTCTGTTCGGAACATAGAATTATTCATCAAACTATCACGCCTTATTCTCCTCAATTTAATGGTATTGCTGAACGCAAGAATCAAACATTGAAGATGATGATGAATGCTATGTTGATAAGTTCTGGATTACCGTATAACCTATAGAGGAAAACTTTGCTCTCTGCCCATTACATTCTCAACTAATCACCACATAGAAAAACGCATAAGATACCTTATGAATTATGGAAATGTGACAAATCTAACTATAAATACTTGAAGGTATGTGAATGTTTGGCTAAGGTATCGGTTCCTAAACCTAAAAAGGTTAAAATATGAACTAAAACCATTAATTATGTATTCACTGGTTATTCCTATCATGGCAGCGTGTACAAATTTATTGTACATAAGTCTGAAATACCCGACGTGCAAGTTAATACAATTATTGAATCAGGGGATGCTACATTTTTCGAAAATGTTTTTTCCTTATAACATGTAAAGTGAATTAAATTCACAGAAAAAACCTCGTGAAAATGAAGCGGTTGTATATCAAGAATCTATAAATGAAGAAGA